GTGTTGTGTTGATGTGGGCGCTATTTTTAATCGTAAAATCGGTCCAACGAAGACTCGGAAGAGACTTTAAACCTCGTAAAGCCGGTTGGATTGGTGCATTTTGTTGAATCTAAATATAAAACGTCATAATTTAATTTATTTTTGTCGTGAGGAAGTATATTGTAAAAAAATACATTTTCTAAAACTTGCGCTAAAGCTTCATGATTCGCTACAATTACAGCTCCGTAATTATCTTCGAGGTTTTTATGAACGATACTTCGACCTTTTTTCGAACGTAATTTGTGAATTTTTCCGTTCGTTGTACCCCATTGATGGTCATTTTCATCTTCGGCAATCTAAAATATAAAAATAATGAAGAAAATTTTTGACAGGTTGAGGTTATGATTGGAAAAATTAATATTTAAATTTGACGTTTCAAATATGTCATTTTGACATTTTAAAATCAGCTGTTGCATTTCTTCCTAAAATTATTAAATTTTACGAAAAAAAAACTTACTAGAACCTAAAAATCCATCATAACGCGTTTTTGAACGCCCAAACTGTTTATTTAAAGTGATTTTATACTCCACGAAGAGATTTTTCGTCCTAAATCAATCTGTGAAGTTTCAATCGAAAGAACTAACCTAACTTTTTTCCGTCAATTTAAAATTTTTAGGATTTTAAAGAATCCGGATAATTTATTAAAATAGAAAGATGGTAAGTCGATTAATTTTATTAATTTTGAATCATTTAATAATTCCATAATTTATAATTTGCATTAATTTAAGAATTTAAATGATTTGCCCACCCCATCTAACGGCATCCATCTAAATTAAATTTTATTTTTGACATTTTAAAATCAGCTGTTGCATTTCTTCCTAAAATTATTAAATTTTACGAAAAACAAAACTTTAAGCGCCCAAACTGTTTATTTAAAGTGATTTTGGTGGAGTATTATCCATATAGGTGGAGTATTATCTTAAGACATTATATGTACACTTTTTTAGACAGCATTTAATGACGTAGCAAATGTTTTTTTAGTTTTTTTAAATGGAAACAACCACTGATTATTCGCTTATTAAATTCGTTATTTTTTCTGATTACAAAAATATAGGGTTCGACAGATCTATTTCTTATTGTTTTAGAATAAAGCTAAAAATAAACTTTTCTTTAGTGTCGTCGAAGAAATAAAATTTAGTTTCCTGCAAATTACGGTACTATAACTAAAAATAAAAAAAAACATATTTCTCCAATCCAAAACAATGCGATCCATTAAATATTTCCGTATTAACAGTTGGTGTAATAAACATAATTATTTGTTTTTAAATACCAGAAAAATAATACCTCGTAATTTACAGTTTCCTGTAAATTTCATTTCTTCGACGACACTAGTTTATTTTTAGATTAAAAAGAACGATTAAAGTGATTTTTCATTAAGTTTTACACTTTTCGGCACTTTATTTTTTATTTGTAACGTATTACTTGAGTGATTTCCCATCGATTAAAAAAAAATTGTCGATTTTTAAGCCACTTAATGATTTTTTATACCCGCCATCTTTTGAGTGACACCACACTTTCGCAAAAATGACAGCGAAATCATAACATAACCTAATTCTTTTTAATTAATTATTTTTAAAGTTAATTATTAATTTACCTCAGATTCGCTTCCACAAAAACTATAAGGTGAATAAATTTCCGATTCGGTTTCACTTCCGCAATAAGTTAAAGACAGCGATCTTGGAATAATCCCGCAATTTTGATATTTATTATTATTATAATAATTTTCTGAAGAAATATCAATATTGCTTTCCGATTTTTGACTTAACCCGTTAAGTTCTCTTCTATTCCCGTTAGTTTTTGAATCACATTCGGGCGAACTCGATCGATTATTAACATAATCGTAATAATTTTCGTTCGAGTTTGAATTGGAGTTTAAATTTTTAACATTCACATTTTCATAACCATTATTATTATTATTATTAGCTCTTTTTTGTTGTTGAGCTTCTCTTTCTCGCATACTCGCAGTTCGATGGGGTTTATTCGGTGTTAAAGCCGATCTAACCTCACCAATATTTGCATAAACAGTTTCGACTTTTTTTGAATTTAATATCTTTGAATATTCTTTTTGTTTATTTATAACATGTTGTGATTTCGGGGGATGCGGAAGATTCGGTTTTGGTGTGTAATCTTCGTAATTTCTTGGTGGCGGAGCTGGTTTTATAACCGATTTATTTAATTGATTCAAATTTGAATAATCTGGAACGTCTTGAAACGATGGCAATGGTGTTTTTGAAACAACCTCAACTTTATCACCATTTAATTCCGATGGATGAACAATAACTAATCTTGGTTTTATTTGAGGGGCTGGTCCGAAATCTTCTGGTATTGTTAAATTAATTTTTTGTTGTTGCAAATCATTTTGAGCCGGTGTTTTATTTAAATCTTTGTTTGAACCCATTCGTAAAAATTTTTTTAACGAAAATCGAGCTCGCTTTTTCTTCTCTTCACTTTGTGCCAACAAATTATCGGAGGATAATGATAAAGATCTTCTTGGAAGCGGTTCCGGGGGTAAACCTTGGTAACTATTTGCATAAATATCTTCTAATTTCGGCGATTTAATCCTTTGATTATTAATCAACATCGAAAATCGATCCTTTTTATCATCGATTTTCTCATCGTCTGGTAATGGTGGTTTAGGAGCTTTTCTTTTACTACCAGAATCTTGTTTTTCTAATTTAACCACTTTCGGTTTTCCGTTAATTAAATTATTAGTTGAAACTAAATTTTGGTTTAAATTAGTTTCTGATTTATTGTCAGTGTTGGGTATAAAAGTTGTTAAAACAACCGGTTGTGGATGATTTTCAATTGATGGAACGTTATTTATCGGTTTTCTTATAAGAATAGTGGACGGTTTACAAGGAATTTTCGGTTTATCTTGAATCGTACTTGTTTTAACTTGCCCATGTAAAAACGAACTGTTATGAGATGAATCAAACGTTGGCGGAGGTGTTAATGGTAAAGCAGGAGGTTCAGATTCTTCGGGATCAGCACGACCATCGGGTTGTTCGCGATTTTGTGATGGAATTTTTAATTCTAAAAAAAAAAATTAATTTAAAATTTTTGAGGTTATGTTCGTTTTGTTTACAATTTAACACAGTAAGTAACGCCATCTATTGAGAAAATGAAATAACATACAGTTTCGTTTAAAAACGTTATTTATAAAATTTTAATTTGCTAAAAAGGTCGTTAAACTTGATTTTTGATGCCGTTTTTTGCTTATATTAATTCCTAACGGTAAAGTATTTACAAATTGAATATTTTAAAACGTTCCAAACCAGGAAATTGTACACTATGGATTGCTTAAAGAAGTTAACTGTAAACATTACTAGTTAAAAACTAGTTTTGGAGATGATACAATCAAAAAAATCTATAAATAACCTACTATTCTAATATAGTAATATTCGCGATTTTGTGATGGAATTATTAATTCTAAAAGAAAAAAAAAATACTTTAAAATTTTTGAGGTTATGTTCGTTTTGTTTACAATTTAACCAAGGTTTATAGAACATAAGGTTACCTCATTCCCTATGCCTCTGTAGTATCGATTATTACCCCGCAAATTGACGTCACTGGTTCGATA